CTCTCTCCCACTCTCTCTCCACTCTCTCTCCCACTCTCTCTCATCTCTCTCCCACTCTCTCTCCCACTCTCTCTCCCACTCTCTCTCCCACTCTCTCCATCACATCCTCTCTCAACACCCCTTTTCTTCTCATCTCCTCTTACTCTCTCTCTCACTCTTCTCTCTCTCTCTCTCTCTCTCTCTCTCTCTCATCTCTCATCTCTCTCTCATCTCTCTCTCTCATCTCTCGTCTCTCTCTCTCTCTCTTCTCTCTACTCTCTCTTCTCTCTCTCTCTCTCATCTCTTCTTCTCTCTCTCTCTCCTTCTCTCTCTCTCTCTCTCTCTCTCTCTCTCTCTCTCTCTCTCTCTCTCTTCTCTCTCTCTCTCTCTTCTCTCTCTATCTTTCTCTCTGTCTCCCTCCTTCTCTCTCTCTCTCTCTCTCTCTCTCTCTCTCTCTCTCTATCTCCCCTCTCTCTCTCCTTCTCTCTCTCTTCTCTCTCTCCTCTCTCTCTTCTCTCTTCGCCCTTCTCTCGCTCTCCTCTCTGCTCTCTTCTCTCTCTGCTCTTCTCTCTCTCTCTCTCTCTCTCTCTCTCTCCTCTCTCTCTCTCTTCTCTCTCTCTCTCTCTCTCTCTCTTCTACTCTCTCTCTCTCTCTCTCTCTCTCTCTCTCTCTCTCATCATCTTCTCTCTACTCTTACCTCACTCTCTCTCTTCTCTCTCTCTCTCTCTCTCTCTCTACTACTACTCTCTCTCTCTCCCTCTCTCTCTTCTCTCTCTTCTCTTCTCTCTCTCTCTCATCTCTCTCGATCTCTTCTCTCTCTTCTCTCTCATCTCTCTCTCTCTCTCTCTCTCTCTCTCTCTCTCTCTCTCTCTCTGTTGGTATTATGAGAGTCAAATGTGATTCAAGCTGTCAGACGAGTAGCAACACACAGCCTGGCAATTAATACATTGTGCTGTTTATTCTGATACATTGGGGAGAACGGGGGAACGACAGCATACTAAGGAAAAGTGAAATAAGAATACCGTAAAAACGATTTTTGTTAATCTTGTTAATCTAGGTTCCGTTATGTTTGATCCACACAATATATAAAACAAAAAGCAAACGGACACTTCCGTTATGAATAAAAAAAGAGAAACCAAATTGACTCGATTATCTCTCATTAACCGGTAATCGGAGCCCCCTGCAGGGGGTAATGATAGCCGTGGCAAACTTAATCCATACTAACGACATAGTAACTTAATGTCTTAATGCTATCTTAATGAAATTGCAACCAAATACCATTGTTTCCACTCCTACAGATCTACAAATTCATCTTTTACGTTTTGTACATTATAAATAAGTTATTGTCTCCTAGCACAAAATGTTCAAATAAAAAAGTTCAAAATCTCAATCTGCACAGAAAATTGTATGAAAATTACGTCATGCCTAAAAACCAATCTGCTGATCACATACCGGCTCCGACAGTAACCTTGTTCCAACACACGTGATGTCTGCAAAACTAGTGTAGTGTGTTATGGACAGGCACATGCGTTGTTTTTTAGTATTTCTTCCTATAAATATAAACAGTAGTTTCCTATAAATATAACAAAAGTAATTTGTATCAATGTGCCCCATGACCGTGGTAAATTGATGCTTCTTGTAGTTTGTGTACGAATGATGGTTTACGCGTTTGGGGAAAGTGTGGGGAAATAAATGCCTCTGCGTATTTTCCAAAAAATAAATTAGCAAACCATTGTACATTTATTTACAGAACTTCAAATTGTCCACATTCTAATTACAACAAAATTTTTAAAACGACCAAAGTCAAAATGAAACGAATAATGGCCTTGTATTTCTAAGTATGTTAAAGCGACCAAAATTGAATGTAAAACGCACTGCTGTTCTTGTTGTTCCTTGTCCTTTTGTTGGCAGTGGCAACATTGTCATAACTTTCATTTCATCCCCACCATTTTCTTCTTCATCAGGAAAAAGTTTCCAGATTTTCTGTTCATGCTCTGGACAAGATGGTCATTATCTCCTTTTATTTGGCCTGCAAAATGAACAACTGATCTGTTATCTGGAAACAGCTCTATAACAAAGTCATTATCAACAATACTTTAAACAAACGTATCTGTTACTTCCATTGACTCTCCTTCACCTAGCAGTTCAAATCATCTGACGTAGAGTCACACAACTGTCCTGAGAATGTTTCAGATTATTCTAGTGAATATAATTCAACTTTCTTATTCTTCCTCTACCGCATCAAAGGTTTGGTGTTTTCTACCCCCAGCAGTACTATTTCAGTTCTTTGTCTCTAGTCCTGTGCTGTGCTGCAGCTTGTTTCTCTTTTTCAACTTTCCACATTTAAAAGCCTTATATTCTCTTATTTATTATTTATAAAAACTAATATTGGAAATTCTTGGTGGAAAATGGTTAGATTTAAAAGTGTGAGGTAAAAATAATAATAAAAAGTAATGAAAGAATGAACTAAAAAAGCATATAGGTTGTTTGCAGCTATAATGAAACACATTTGATGTGTATCAATATGCCTCAAGCAGCGGTTTTGAATAATTTGAATCTTCATAATTTACCGAACAAAAAAGAATGATGAACTGACAAAGAGTAGTTTTACTTACCAGAGGGAGTATTCCTGCCTGTTGAAAATACTAGAACAGCAGTATAATACCCTGCAATAATTACAATTACCCTGCAATACAATTATTGTACAACTAAAACTTACTAACTTACCAACAAAAACACTAAATCTCTCATCTAATTTCATCAAACTACTGAATCATGCTACATGACGTTCTCTGGGTAGCTGTGTACACTAGAGTCCTCGTCTCTGTCTTGGTGTATCACTTCGGCCAACATGTTGTGGCCTTCCTCAGGACGCATTGCTGCCATATGTGACGTAAATTTAAAATTTCGTGATATTGTTTCTTGATAGCCCGATGCAAAATCACGATCTGTTTCAACAACACCCCAATACAAGGCCAAATTTGCGAACAGAGAATTTGTTTTAGGAATTGCGTTGGGAGATTCTAGTAACCAGAATGAATAATTCCCAGTGACATTACTACCTGCTACTGTTACAATAACCAAATAAATTATAGCTTGTATTCACAGAAGTAACAATATTAGTTTATTTTCAGAAGTGGATTATTGGCAATAACGAATTCAATTTTGATGAAAAATTCCAATTGCAGCAGTAATAACATAATATATATAGACTTAATGATAACAATTTTAAACAACATGAATGTCAAACTCTGATATTTTTTCTCTTAAAGTTGCAAATTTGTGGTATTCTATTTTATAAACTGGAAAATTTTGATCAATGTTAGCAAAGGTACGTCATAGTGTTGGGGACATATTTTGTTTCAATCCTCTTCGTTCAACTCGTCGTCATAAGGAAGGCTTTCAATTGAATCCTCCTGCGATGTTCTGGCGCCATCTACAAGCTGCAATCTTAGGAAAAGAGATGTTGCATTAATATTGATTGTAGACAATGTTAATAGAGCTTTTGTTGGGAAGGAAAACAAATATTTGGTTAAACAAAAAACTATTGGAACAGATCAATGAGAAGAAGTATGAGCAAAAAAATTGACTATAAACTTACCTTGAATCCACACAAGAAACATTTTACAGAAAAGTGTACCAGATTAATTAATGAAGTCTCAAAATCAGCGAAAATGCAATGAGGTCTTACGAGTGAGGCTGTAAGGCGCATATACAGTATAGGAACTAGTTTATCCTTATATTATACATATGCCATATTCACGTTATGAAGAAGCAGTTCAACAAATCCAAGCACAAGAATATAGACAATTTTCAATGTAACATTAAAACAAATGAATCACAAGGAATTTCAAGTAATGCATTTTACGGCCTCACACATTAGCATCAATGCCAATGAAAATAGAAGAATGAGTCAAACTTACAAAAAGTAAGCCAAAAAATATAAAATGAAATAAATGTAGAAGATCATATCCAAGCGCCACACAATGACTACAGCGCCACCTATCACAAATCAGAAAAAAATTTTCAGACAAAACTTATGTATTTTTGTCCGTAGAATACGAATCTGAAATAAAAAATGTGGGTTCCCATTTAAGATTTCAATGTTGCCCACCGCCCCACCCGCTGGGGGCAGGTGCTGATTTTAGCATAAAATGATTTCCCCTTCAAAACTGTTAAGATTTGGTCTCGATTCAATTTTTCATACATCGCGTATTTCAAGTTGTCAAGTTAAATGGGACAACCTGTATTTAGTACGGAGTTGCTCTACAGCTGTCGCCGTTTCTACGCTCTCAGTCTCCATGCCTCTCTATCATCTTGCATTTTTCTTGCCGTCATAGCCTGTTGCACTCCCTGCTGCCATGCAAGTCTGAGTCTTCCTCTTTTTTTTTGTCTTTCCGTCGGCACCCATTGCACGACTCGTTTTGGCCATCTTTCGTCTGTCATTCGCATAACATGACCGTACCAGACGATTTGTTTTTTCTCTATTTCGTCAAGGATAGATTTCTTTACATCCATTTTCTTTCTTATGTCGTTCTTCCTGATTCTGTAACGTCTGCTATAACAGCAATTTCTACGCCAGAAGTCCATTTCAAGGGCCAGCAGCTTCCCTTTTGTTCATTTATCAATCTACCAAACTTCTGAACCGTATGTTGTAACACTCTTAACTAGTGACGAGTAAAGACATCTTTTAGTAGTATTTGTAATGGTTTTGTTCCATAAGACAGTTTATACTTCGTGTCACGTTTCTCCCCCAGCTTATTCGTCTCTTTCTTCTTGGCTTTCCTTATTGTTAAAACGTACACCAAGATATTTACATTTGTTTACTCCTTTTATGTTTCTCTATTTTTCAGAAGAAGATCTTCTATCTCATTGTTACCAACTCCTAGGTATTTAGAAGAAGATAATATTCAATATATATATATATA